GCAAAGCACAGCGGGATGGAGAATGCATTGTTCACAGGAGTTTCCTTGGCGCTACCAGGATGTCGATTTGTGACTCGCGTCCTCCTCAGCCAAGTCGTAAGAACGACACTTCTTGCCTTCTCTAAAGTCCCCTGCACGGACAAGTACTGACACGCGCTAGATCACAACAGCAATAGGGCCTCTTCTTAAACATAGTACCAATGGGACAGCGCAAGGACTATCAGGGCTCTAGCATCCTCATGCGCTTAGCTCCATCTAGGGGCACCTTGAAAAGTAGCAGTTTCACTTCGTTTCCTTTCAACCTCCCCCCCCCTCGCAACAAAAAAAGGTACCCGGGAAAGGAATTCCTCATCCATTGATATTCGATTTGCACTATACTTCGGTCTCCTACAGCTTTGCACTGCTTCACATTTGTGGGCCATGTTGTCTGCGCTTTAGGTTGATTTGGGCCAGGGTTGCTTTGTTAGGAAGGTCTTGCAGACTTGCTGCAGCATGCTTTTGTAGTTTGGGCATGTTCAGACACCTTGCTGTAGTGTAGTCTTGAGCTTCAAGTGGTCAGAGGAAAATGATGGGCATTGGCTGCACGTCATACTGCCATTGAGCAAGCGCAATGCTAGAACTCAGACAAACATGGGGTTTTCACACAAATAAGGGTCCGGTCAGGTGATTGGCTTCCTTTTGGTTTTCCTTCACAAGGGGAGTTCAAGCCATTTTGAGACATATCCATTTGTCGCACCAAGCGCGCCTCCGCACAAGTGGGCTCTTGTGCGTTCGGAATGCCCGTGGGCGCATCGCAGGCCTGACAAACAGCCATCCAACCAGGGGAAAAAAAACAGAAAAAAGACCGCCCTGGGCGCAGTAGATTGTAAGAACAATCTTCACGTCAGAAATGGTGGTGGTCATTCCGATTTCCCAACCTCAGGTTTCTCTCAAACCAACACCTTCCATCCAGAAAATCACAAGGCCACGAGCCACCTTCCGGCCAATCGACAGCCCCTGCTACCTCTGCTGAAAGAAATCGCAAGATGAAGCACGAGGCCGTGGGCGATGCAACATGAAGCTCACCCTTCCAAACATAAGCTGAATGAGAACCTCTGGTTTAAAACCGTTTTACTCTCAACAAATCCTCTTTCAGGTTCATGGTCCCGGCAAGTATCTTGCAATGCGAGCAAGTATGATTCCCATAATAGTGCGAAGCGTTGCGACAAAGAAGGGTTGCAAATTCAACAAGGTTCCATTCACAGGACACTTCTGCTTGGCGTTGATGACGCGTAGGACAGGAATATGAAGCATTAAATCGCCCCACAAAAAAGGCCATCCTGCTCCGCTGCTGTGTAATCATCAACCGTCACAAGAATTGACACAAGTCTAAGCCGTCATCTTAGCCTCCGTTTGTTGATTGTTCTCCGGGGCCAATGTCTGCGCTGCGCCACTGCACTTCTGCGCTGCTGGCGGACCACTTGGTTCCTTGCCACAAAGTCCCTATGATTTGCCCAGATGTGTTTGCAACGCTCAACGTTGTAATGTAGCTGCCTGTAAAATCAAAACCCCAATCAAGATGAGATAGCATGATAAAACAACAATTTGGACATGCCAGACCTGTACACAAAATGGCTAAAGAAATTCTGCCAAATATGCACACAACCGATGTGCAATGCGGCGACGCACAGAAATGGCTTTTTGTTTTTTTGTGTTTTTCCCGAATGCGTAGCATAGGGTTCTCGTATCATCTTGGGGGTCTGGGGGTGAAGCCTTGTTCGCCGGATGTTGTGCAACCGTTCGCAACCGCTTGCAACCGTTCGTATGATTGCGCTATGGCTCTCCCAGGGGGAAGCGCAGAACGTGTGAGTTTGATGACTTGAGATGCGCTGTTTTCGTGCCGCTGCGCAGGCGCAGTGTTTCGTGAGGCTTCACGTTTGCGTTGCAAATGCAGTGGGATTCGCGTTTCAGGGGTCGTCGTTTTGAGGTGTTTTGCGCGGAATGCTCGCGCAAGTGTTTGCTGGAGTGTCGTTTTCGTTGGCCCTGTCGTACAACCGGCTCGTTTCGACTGCAGATTTGCAAGAAATCGGTCAAAATCATTCTGGCGCTGCAGTCCCGTGCTAGTTTTCCGCGTGCGGTGCGAGAGTGTCAAGTTCTGATTTGGTGGCAGGCGCAGAAGTGCTGCGCAGAAGTCCGGATCAGAAGTGTGGATCAGAATTGTCGATGAGAAGTACCGCTCAGAAGGGTGTCGATCAGTGTTGCTCGGAAGTGCTGATTAGAAGCGTCGATCAGAAGCGTTGCTCAGACATGTTGCTCACAAGTGTGAGTCAGAAGTGTCGATCAGGGTTGTCGATCAGCAGTGTTGCTCAGAAGTGCTGCTCAGATTTGTCGATCAGGAGCGTTACTCAGAAGTCTTGCTCAGAACTGTCTACCAGAAGAATGGATCAGAGGTGTCGATCGAAGTGCGCTCAGAAGTGTTGCTCAGAAGTGTCGATCAGATTCGTTGCACGTTTCGCGCAGAAGTATCGATCAAAAGTGTTACTCAGAAGTGTTGCTCAGAAGTGTGGATCAGAAGTATCGCTCAGAAGTATCGATCAGAAGCGCGGATCAGACGTGTTGCTCAGAAATGTTGATCAGAAGTCTTGCTCGGAAGCGTCGATCAGAAAAAAGTGTCGATCAGAAGTGTGGAGCAGAACTGCCACGCGTCGCTCAGAAGTGTCACTCAAAAGTGTTGCTCAGAAGTGTCGTTGCTCAGAGGCGTCGCCCAGAAGAAGTGTCTCTCAGGGTGTCGCTGAGATATGTGTAGAAATGTCGCTCGAATCGTCGCTCAATAGTGTTGCTCGGAAGTGTCCCTGATGTGCGTGTGTGTGTGGACATGTGGCTCAGATGTGTCGCTCAGAGAGGTGTCTTCAGAAGTGTCGCTCAGGAGTGCCGCTCAGTGTTGCTCAGAAGTGTTGTTCAGAGGTGTCGCTCAGAAGTGTCGCTCGGGAGTGTCGCTCAAAAGTGTCTCTCAGATATGTGTGTAAAAATGTCGCTCGAATTGTCGCTCAAGAATCGCTCAAAAGCGTCGCTTACATGTTTGTGTGTGTGTGTTTGCTCAGCAGTGTTGCTTAGAAGTGTCGCTCAGAAGTGTCGATCAGAAGTGTTGCTTGGAAGTGTCGCTCAAAAGCTTCGATTAGAAGTGTTGCTCAGATATATCGATCAGAAGTGTCGCTCAGAGTTGCGATCAAAAGTGTCGCTCAGGGAGATCGCTCATTGTCGCTCAGAATTGTCAATCAGACGTGTTGCTCGGAAGTGTCGCGCAGAAGCTTCGATCAGAAGTGTTGCTCAGAAGTTTGGATCATGTGTCGATCAGAGGTGTGATCAAAAGTGTCGCTCAGGGATGTCGCTCATTGCTCAGGGGTGTCGCTCAAAAGCGTCGCTCAATGGTGTCGCTGAGACATGTGTGTAGAAATGTCGCTCGAATCGTCGCTCAATAGTGTTGCTCAGAAGTGTCGCTGATGTGTGTTTGTGTGGAAATGTGGCTTGTGCCGCTCAGTGTTGCTCAGAAGTCTTGTTGAGAGGTGTCGCTCAGAAGTGTCACTCGGGAGCGTCGCTCAAGAGTGTCTCTTCGATATGTGTGTAGAAACGTCTCTCGGCATGTCGCTCAGGAGTGTCGTTCCAAAGCGTCGCTTACATGTGTCTGTGTGTCTGCACAAGTGTTGTTTGAAGTGCTGCTCAGTGTCGATTATGTGTGTGTAGAAGTATCTCTCAGTTTGCCGAAATCCTGCAGAGGTATGGCTTCAGGATTGTCTTGCAAGTGTGTTCAGAGGTGTCGCTGAAGTTGTCGCTCAGAAGTGTCACCCAAGCTCTGCTCAGAAGCGCCTCTCGAAAGTGTCAGTGACAAAAGTCGCTCGCGGGTGTCGTGTTGAAGAATGTTCAGAAGTGTCTGTTGAACGGTCGGTCAGAAGCTCAGAAGCGTCGCTAGCTGGAAAATCGCGACTTTGAAGTGCAAGTCTAGCACGCGAAGTACAGCTCCAGCTCGAAAATCGCAACTTTGTAGCACACGTACGCACTGGAAAATCGCAACTTTGTGGTACAAGTCTAGTACGCAAAGCACAGGCTGCCAGCTCTAGCTGGAAAATGGCAACCTTGAAGTACAAGTTTAGCACGCGAAGTACAGGAATCCAGCTCCAGCTACAAAAATCGCAACTTTGTAGTACAAGTATAGTACGCAAGCAAGTTTCCAGCTCTACCTGGCGAATCGCAACTTTGCAGTACAAGTCTAGCATGCGAAGTACAGGTTTCCAGCTCTGGTTGGAAAATCGTAACTTTGTAGTACAAGTCTAGTGCGCGAAGCGCAGGTGTCCAGCTCCAGCTCGAAACTCGCAACTTTGTAGCACACGTCTAGCGCGCGCTGGCAAATCGCAACTTTGCAGTACAAGTCTAGTACGCAAAGCACTGGTTTCCAGCTCTGGCTGGAAAATGGCTTTGAAGTACAAGTCTAATACGCGAAGTGCAGGTTTCCAACTGGAAAATCGCAACTGTGTAGTGCAAGTCTGAACGCGAAGTACAGGTTTCCAGCTCTAGCTAGAAAATCGCAACTTTGTAGCACAAGTATAGCACGCAAAGCGCAAGTTTCGAGCTCTAGCTGGCAAATCGCAACGTTGCAGTACAAGTCTAGTACGCGAACTACAGGTTTCCTGCTCCGGCTGGAAAATCGTAACTTTGTAGTACAAGTTTAGTGCGCGAAGCGCAAGTGTCTAGCTCCAGCTCGAAACTCGCAACTTTGTAGCACACGTCTAGCACGCGCTGGAAAATCACAACTTTGCAGCACAACGCAAAACATTGGTTTCCAGCTCTGGCTGGAAAATGGCTACGCGAAGTACAGGTTTCCAGCTGGAAAATCGCAACTTTGTAGTACAAGTCCGGTACGCGAAGTACAGCTTTCCAGCTCCAGCTGGAAAATCGCGACTTTCTGGGTGAATTAAAATATTTCACCAACCTGAAATAAGGTTGTTGGGGGGCTATTTCCCACATAAACCACCATTTGGGTGAGGTCGTGTGAGGTCGTTATAATTCACCCATAACTTTGTAGTACAAGTATAGTACGCAAGCAAGTTTCCAGCTCTACCTGGCGAATCGCAACTTTGCAGTACAAGTCTAGCATGCGAAGTACAGGTTTCCAGCTCTGGTTGGAAAATCGTAACTTTGTAGTACAAGTCTAGTGCGCGAAGCTCAGGTGTCCAGCTCCAGTTCGAAACTCACAACTTTGTAGCACACGTCTAGTACGCGCTGGAAAATCGCAACTTTGTAGTACCGCAAAGCAATGGTTTCCAGCTCTGGCTGGAAAATGGCAAGGACTATCAAGTGTGAAGCCAAATGCATGAAATCAACCCGCCTGAATCATAAGGTTCAGTGCCAACGTGGTAACGTGGTAAGTCCACCAGGTCAGGGAGGGGAACAAAGTCCCCCCCCCCCCTTGCGTGGTAGGTTTTGAACTTTTGAGGCTTTGGTTTTGAACAAGTCGCTTGGTACGACCTGGAACCAAAGCAACGGAATCTTCACGGGTAAAGCTGTGATCTGGCAAGGCTACGAGATGCTTGGAGATGCAGCCCTCTCCGTCACGCCTATGTCAGGGAGATGACTAGGAGGAACAAACATATAGGGTATGTGTCACAATACTGCAGGGAACCGCCAAAAATGCGTTTTCTCCTTCGGTTGACCGGTTGAACCAAGCCCAAAAAAGATGCCATCAAAAAGCACACACACACACACACGTATTCCTGAAAGAAATCAAACGGGCCGATCTGTGCTTGAGCTCTTTTCCTTGTGAACCTGGGAATGCCAAACTGGCAGCCTTCCTCCTGGCTGCTCCAGAAACAACAGGTCCAGGAAAAAGTGATTTAATGAATTAACCCCCCCCCCGCGCAATTTTGAAAATCGCCCTTACTGAAGATAAACACGACCAAGGCCCTTTTGCGCGTCCATTAATTTGGGGTCAAACATGCCCACTGTTGCTCCAAGTCTCGAGTGTCGCGACCCCGAACCCGCCTTGCCACAAGTGAAGTTGGGCGGCTGCAGCTGCTGAACGGCACACCTGGGAGACGAAGGCGCGGTGCAAAGGGCAGGGCCGCTTTCAGTGTCCCCTGGAATCATCATCCCAAGGTTCCACACACAAACTTGGACGAAGCGTTGATGTTGAGAGCCACCAAAAAGGGGAAATTGGCAACTCTGGGTTTGTTGCAAACGTGGAGAAACAAATACGAGAGCCTTGATGCAACAAGCAACAGTCCAATAGATTGCGTGGACTTATATCATTTGTGTGACTGAGATTGTGTAAGTCACCCAAGTTCATGTTCAACGCTGTTCAACGCTGTTCAACGCTGTTTAACGCTGTTCAAGTGCCGTGGTTGACCGAGCCCAAATGCAGGCGGGTATGGCCAGGACTAAGGCCACCAAGCTGAGCGACAAAACGGGTATCGCATCCTCTCCAACAGCTCGATGCCTGGGGCTCAGCCGACTCTTGGGACTCTTGCTTCAGATTCCCAGCGCCAACCTGACAGCCACGCAGGTTACACCAACAAGGAAATAGTCAATGCCAAGTCACAGTGATGCAATTGGTCCCGCGAATGAAGGTAACACGCGGGCAACACTACAGAAAACCGTACGCATTGAACACCATGTGTGGGAACTTGCCTTGCCGTCTATTTGGGGAGCAATGGCCAAGGCCAAAAGGCCAGAAGGCCGAAACAAGCAGCAAATCTTCAAACGTCCCATTTGCCTTCGTCCAGCCAAAAAGAAAAACGGCTCTCAGGAGGCTCCCAAGAAAACCAGCACGTCACCGCCTGACACCTTCGATTCAAGTCGTCCCCACTCACGAGGAATCAAGGCTACACATCTGGGGCACTGTCCTCGTTGTCCCAGCTATTCGACGCAAAAAGGGCTGGCCCTCCCAAATCAGCTTGCTGGCTAAAATCCGGGGCTCATGCGCCTCCTCTTCTAACATTGAATATGTTCGTTCTGAGGCCTTCAGGTTTCCTCCAATCAAACCTTCCCTTTGATCGCCTGAGGCCGTTTCCTCCAATCAAACCCATCTCACAAGTGCGTGCTGGACATGAACCCCTACCCAATGATGTCCACCAAGGGGTCCCCTATTGAACAAGTCCCACCCATTTAGTCTACCCTAAAACGAAACAAACCGAAGCACCTGACCGACACGCCAGGGCACTGGAGCTGCAGGGGCATCGGCGAGCTCCCGGGCGCGCACCGCGCCGTGCAAAGGCCTAGCCCAAGCTGCCGAAGCCGCCGCGCAGCTTAGAAAACGGATGTGCGGTTCCCTGGTTGATACGCGACCGGTGCAAAAGGTATGCGAATAACTAAACACACATAAAATTACAATGAAGTGTTCATATAATAATCATAATAATAATAATAATAATAATAATAATAATAATAATAATAATAATAATAATAGTAATAATAATAATAATAAATAATAATAATAGTAATAATAATAATAATAATAAATAATAATAATAATAATAATAATAATAATAATAATAATAATAATAATAATAATAATAGTAATAATAATAATAAATAATAATAATAATAATAATAATAATAATAATAATAATATAGGTATGTGTGTGTATGCACACCCTTCTGTATCCATGTCGAGACCAGTGCAAGTGGAAACTGTGGTTGAGAGCGGGGGTGCGAAGTCACGTCCCTTGAAAGCGATTGCCCAGCATCCGAATCGTACGAGCCAGGGTCAACGGACAGCATACGAGTCACCGGTTTTGCTGTGGGAAATGTAGCGAGTTTCAGAGCTTGCCAGCACTCTCCGGTCAATTCCTTTCTGACCCTCACGAATTCTTCACTTCTTGAACAGATTGTAGTTCCTGGCTGTGATCCTTGCACATTGGGAATGGCAAAGCCTGGGACTGGAACTAGCGATGCTTCCACGACAGCGTGTTGGTTGTTTGTGTTGGCAGTACGAGCATGTGAAACACACACACACACGAGCGCGACAACTGTGAAAGCAGAGTTTGGGATAGGAAACCATGCCTCTGCATCTTAGTTGTGGTAACCAGCTTCGATCAACCAGCCCCCCTGGTGTCAACACACCAAAGCGGATTGGTTAGAAGAACTCCAACACGAACCCAAGCAGGACAAAATCCAATTACTGTCGCCGCCGATGCCTTTGGTCGATCCGAGCCGTGTACAGTTGCCCTTGGATGGCTGGGACTAGAACTACATCCTCTGCTCCTGCTCAAGGAGGCACCCAACAAATTCCAAGGCATGTGGTGTGTTGTTGTAATTTACTTGCACAAGACCCTAGGTATTATGTATCCCTACTATATGCTGTCTTCAACAAAGGATGCGGTCTGAAATAAAGGCTACCGAAGGGGTCAACCTCCAATTTGACAAACAAACTTAAGCAACGGCGCGCAAGTCAGTCTGGACTCTGCAAAACTCATTTGGGCCAACAGCCCTTGTCAAATGCAGGATTCGCGAATGCTTTGTTGAAAACTTCCTGTTGAAAGCCCCGGCTCTGTTGTGAATCAGGTCCGTCCAAGCTCGCATACATGGCAGGGATGATGTGGGCCGTCTCAAGCATCGCAGGAACTAACCGCCTGACGAGGTCCTCCACTTTTGAGAAGCCATGTTCAAACTGGATGTCATGCAAGGCCCAAATTCATGCCCGCAATCTCCACATGCACTTGTGTCAGCATGGTGTCCAAGCGATGCCTGTCCCCAGTGCTGAGTTTGCTTGCGCACGTGATCCCCTTGACCAAAAACCCCGAAGCCCAAGGAGTGTTGGAACCCTCGAGGTACCTGGCACAAGGGCTGCCCCCAATTCGCGGATTCCTGGCTGTCACTGGACAAAGCGGACTGGACGGAGTGCCTCCGTGGGGGATCTCTTCACCTTCGGCGCAGGCAGGCCTTGGTTGCCATCAATTCGGGGATCGTCAGTCGCTCTCGTCACCGCCCTTTTCAACCATTTCAAAGGTAAGACCTGGATGAATTGCGAAGAGGGGCAAACTGATTTGGCAGAACTGGGAAGGTTCATAGAGCATGCAAAAGCCCGGGATGAGCATAGACAAGCCCACAAGTGACCCTCAGACCTCGTCAAGTAGAGGGGATGCAACAAAATGCTGCGCACTGCAGTGCCGGTGCCCCAAACGAAGGTAGAGAGACCCTGTCATTTGTCGAAATTTAATTGGGTTTTGTGGTTGCATGCGGTTTGTCCAGATGCAACTTAGGAAATCAAACGTCAAACCGGCTCCCGTTCTACATGGGTGCGACCGGCAAAGTTTGGGATTGCAGCAGGAATACAATTGCCCAACCTCAACTCGTTCGTATCCTCCAATGACGGAAGCTGACAGGAAGGCCTCATAGTGTGGGAGGCTACATTCCTTGGGGAATCGCCCTGTCTACTTCCGATTGTCTGAACATGTCCTTCATCCCCCACTTGCCATAAAGTCACCATGAGCAACACCCAAAGGGGCTCTGGGGGGATTCATCAAATTTGGCAATCATTGTCCGTTCCAAACGACTTCTTCTACTTTCCAAGTCTTGGGGTGAGCAACCGTGACAAATCTGTCGACATGGAAAGCAACCGAAGTCTCTGCTTTTGGAGAGTCCCGGGATACTTCATGAGCCCAGTGAATGATAAGGCAAACTTGTCCAATACCGCGACAGACCGTTCCGTTTTTTGTCATTCGCTGGGTAAGCCCCCCATCTCCTCCTCGCTATAGAAGAATCTGCACTATTTAAGCTACAACTCACCAAAGCGCCTTAGGCACCCTCATGGCTGAAAGCGCTTACCCCGGATTGGCCAAGACTCCTATGGCGCTGGAAAAAGACTTCCATTTCAGTCTGATCTGCAGCTCCCGCCCTGGCTGAGTCTTCGGACGAGGCATACTCCTGCCGAGCAAGTGCCATCTACGGTGCTGGGTTCCAAGGTGGGCACATCTCCACATGGGGCGCCCGGACATGAGTGGGTTAGACGGGTTAGATGTTGTGCCCTCAAACCCACAAGACGCAACGGGTACCACCTAAAGCACATATACAAACAGCTTAAGGTTGGGGTAGATAGTGGAGCGGGTGATTGCCGAAATTTGTGGTTGGTGGAGAGGTGGGTTGAATTGGGAGTTCTGTGGTTGCCTAAAATTGTTGGTGGTGCATTGGGGCTTTGTATTGGGAATTTGCCTACACTTGCTGGAGGAGCCACCCACGAACAAATCGAAGTCACAATATGCCTAATCAAGGGCTGACATGCAGGCCCCAAGTCAAGAAAGCCTCCAGAATACGGTTGCTCTGTGCTTTGCATAGACAGCAGAGCTATTTGTGTTCGCAAAGCTCAGCTATATGGAAGGTTTGCTGCTGGATGACATCCTATTTTCTCTTGGTCTCGTTTTATCTCTATCTCTCTGCCCCTCTCTCTCCCTCTCTCTCTCTCTCTCGCTCTCTCTCTCCCTCTCTCTCTCTCTCTCTCTCTCTCTCTCTCTTTTGCTCGTTCTTGCTCTTTCTTTGCCCATCTCCCCACTTTTCCTCACTATGACATCTTTTTTGAACGGCCATGCACTATTCCATATCCCTAAGACAGAGTGGCCGATGATTGCCCCCTTGCCGCGTTGAGCTCCGTCATGAACAAGCAAGCGAGTGATGAATGTCTGCTCACGAGTTTGCATCGCGAGTCCTGCTCCCCATGCAACCGCAGAAATGCATCATCAAGTGAAAGACTCATGCAACTTTGGACGTAGGTGGACCTTCGCAATCTTGCCTTTTGGGGCTGTGTAATTACTGTATCCTTGCAACAGAAAGATTGCAAAAGCAACCTGGCAGCCTTGTGAAGCAGGGAGGTTGACAAGGTCATGAGACCCCTCTTCAATAGTTTGCCATCGGCGGTGCGCCCAATGCAGTCCGTCGACCGATAGTCTGGTGTTAAGTCTGGGCACTGGAATTTAGAGGCCGTACAAAAGGACGAAACCCAGGCACTTCCGCTTGAAGAAGCAGCCTCAAACCTCCCAGCATCCCAACACACATGACTCTCAATGCACTGAGCGCGCCTCCTTCTGAGTGTCTGCTGCACAGCTCTCTCTCCACTAAACAAACAAACAAACAAACAAACAAACAAACAAACAAACAAACAAACAATCAATGATCCATAAACAAAACACACACCCACACACACATGCACATGCACATGCACATGCACATGCACATGCACATGCACATGCACATGCACATGCACGCGATTACAACAGCGGAAAAAGAACAATCCAAACATCGGCCCCAGTTCCTGCAAATACACATGTCATTGTGTTGTATTCCGTTCCATCGTTAATGGAATAGCTTTGTGGAGGACATCATGCTTGTATACATGTCGTTTCTTCGTCCATGCTTCTTCGTGGCTGTCTTCTTCATCTATATAGTAATGACATGTCTTAAAGTCGTTTCGCAATTTGGACATATGTCTATGGACCACCTTTTTTTATGAGGATCCATCCATCTACTCAGTGTTCTCTTTTCTCACAGTTGGATCCTGTGGGTAGATCCTGTGGTTGAAGCATAGGTAAGGCTTCGTCGGGCACGGCCCGTGTCACCGGAAACAGCCGTCTGGGAAAAGCAAACCGGTCGGCTGCAAGTGGATTCCTCGCCGAGATGTCGGTGTGGCTTTGGAGAGTTTCTTGTTGGCTACCCTCTTGGGGTGTTTGCTTCAGGGAAACCACTCAAGTTGAGGCTTCCCCCATTTGAAAGCAAACTTCTGTGAGTGTGTGTGCTTGGGCTGTTGCCTAGGGTTCTACCAACCATCAATTTTGGCTCGATGGTACACCAATCATCAAAGTCGGCCCAAATGGCTGCTTTGACCAAGCACAGATGGAAGCCATCCATTTTAGGATCCCTATTTTGAGAAACACTCACGGGGGTTGATCAATATTCCTGGCCCCAAAATGACCATGGGCATTTTCTCCCATTTAGTGGTGCACTTCATCTTTTTCTGTGGTTTCCTTTATGGTGAATGCAAAGGACCTTTTGCTCAACCCCCATGTAGACATCATATTCCCGTCGTCTCGGTGGGACCCGAGAATGCCCGCGGGGTTCCTCCGTGGCAGAGCTGGGTGCACTGCAGGGCAGGCCCTCGCAACCTCAGACACATTGCAGGGAACCGGGAAGAACAGAACAAGAACAGGGATCCTTACATGATACACCTGAACATTGCCTTGTAAATGGTGGTTTCTCTGTGTTTTGGTGGAAAAACAGCTGCTATTCGTGCCCAATAAAGGCCTGGCCCTTTAACATGTAACCCCTTTAAGTGTGAGAATCCCTCAATCTTGTTGTAGACTAGAGGTGAAATTGATCATGGTCAACTCAAAGGGTGGGTGTTTTCCGTCATTCCTTCACCCGATGTTTGGGTGGCGCGGAGAATAGTAATGTTGACCAATCAACCCCTGTTTATTCTAATATGTGGGTGTTCAACACGCTGAAAAAATGATACAAGCCCTACTAAAACCAGGAACACCCCGGGA